CTTCTGTTGAGTGTAGAATACGAGACCTGACATCGGAGACGAGCGATGAGCCCACCACTCCAGCCCGGAATTCGAGCACCACACCCACATAAGCCTGAGTGAATATCTTCTGTGCAGTTTTTCTGAAAGTTTTCCGACTCAAATTTAGGCAAATGATAATTCCGGACGCAACATTCAGGTCCTCAGTATGCTTCAGTTCGGCTCCCTCGGTTCTGCGTGATCATGGTGCCCAGTGTCCAACAGCCCACAAGCCCGGAAGATTAACCTACTATCCACTAGATTGAGGCCAAAAAGACTACAGCAGTCAGGTTTAGGCCTATAATTGTGAATATGCTCGCTGCTTCACCGTAAACAGAAACTAAATGACCTATATGAAACAAAAGCAAGCACAAACATCTCTTTTTCCATCATACATGCAAAACTCGTCCTTCTCTCAACACATGGGGATGTAACTCAGGGGTAGAGTGCACGCTTCGCATCGCAAGACCGCCTGCGTGAAGTCTAGGGTTCAAATCCCTACTTCTCCATCCTTTTTTGGTCGTTGCGAGTCGAAAATCGGAAATTTTTTTCTTTTGTGGATTTTTTGCTATTTTATTTGGTATTTTCTCGATGATTTTGGTTCTGAGCATTAGAATAATTTTTTTGATACATTTTCCGCCGCAGAAATTGGAGAATCCAGGGTTGGAATTCCCCATTTGAGTCGATTCAGCGCTGGGAGTTGTGTTGTGTCACGCGGGACGATGACAAGATTGCTGCCCCTCGCGACAAACACCTGTATCCCAAATAACCACGTGTAAATGAGAGGTCAGGGATAGGGGCTGATTAATATCGGGCGTCTTTGAAATTATGAGTGTTAGAGTCGCCAAGCTGTCGCGATAATCTGTGAAACACCAGTCCGACAAGTAGGGTAATACTGGTTGACCTTATTGGCGACAATTTTACCATTCGGCCTCTCCTAGCTCATCAATCTTACCTCTCCTTTCCTTTCATAGGAGAAAAGGTCATATCTTCCTGTGAGACTGCCGTTTCTTGTGGCCTGCTATGATGGAACGAACATACGTGACATCGCTCAATCTATGATGTTAGGGCACTGCAACAAATGCCTGTATTTTTTTCAATCCTATCTACGTAGTGATGATATAGTATGTGCCAGGAAAATATACAATAGTGAAAGTGGTCGGGAACTGGGGGGGTTGAGGAATTGTGGACGCATGTGTACGTGTATCGCAAAGTAGGGATTTGAACTCTAGACATGCAACTATTCATTAGTGCATTTTTCCCCTGAGGTAAATCCACCGTAAAATTCCCCATCCAGGAAAGAAAAAGCACAAAACCGGGATTTGACCCTTGTCAACTATTCATAAGGTTCAAATCCCTGGTTCTTCATATTCCTCGTAGATGCCTACTTTGCAGTTTTTTCCTCAATGGGGAAGTGTACGCTGGTTCGTCCCTCATATATCAGAAAGCTGCTAAGTGAGTATAAAACCTTGGAGTCTCCGTTGACGCATCCTCGATCATTGAACATTTCGGACCCCTGCAAAATATTCAAGTCCATCCCTGATCACACCGAATACCACCATAATACCAACTGCACGACATAGCCCACGACATTTGGCGTGTATTTTCTTTGAAAATTGTACATTTGATCCATGATCATATTATCAACTGTGCCGCAATAGCAATAGTGCAGCACGAAAAACCGGCAGACAGAAAAACCGACCAAAAAGATAGGATGTCATGCTAGGAGTTCGGGATATACCAGTATCATAGCCAGTGGGTGGGGTATTATTTGAGATTGAGATCACCGAAAACGAAAAAAAAAATAAGAACGTAAAAAGAGGAAGAAATACTAGATGAATCAACGAATGAATAAAGGGATCAACTGAGCGATTAGATAAAAGTGAATGGAAGGAGGGAAACACTATGCGCGAATCCGCCACCCATCACCCTTGCGCTTCGTCCTCCCTATCCCCGCAAAGCTCTCGCGCACCACAAGCCAAAGCCCCGTGGAGCTCACAACGTCCTTCAGATCCTCTGCTGTGAACAAAACCTCGGACGACATATCAACTGGCTGTGAGCTGGGAGATCTGGGCGGCGAAGGTGATGGCGGCGGCGAAGATGTGGAGTGGAGGACCCCATCTGGGCCGATGCGCCGAGGAATGAATCGCGCGCCGACGCCGCCTGATACAGCTGCGTAGCGCTCGGACTCTGCTTCCTCCTGGGTCGACGAGGGCGTCTCACTGCCGCTCGAGCTCCCCCTGTGCAGATGAATACCGAGATGCACGGGCATGTGCATTCGAGAATGATGTTGTTGTTGATGCTGGAGAGGAGGGCGCGGTGTGACGGCTACGTCGGGGAGAGGGAAGGGCATCTTGAACTGGCCGATGATCTTGGGGTGGTGGGGCGTCGGAACGAGGACAGCGAGGCGGAGGCGTACTCTGCCGTCGTTGAATGGGAGGGTCTCAGGGTGCTCGGCCCCTGAACCAGAACGCGATCGGCGTACAGAGGTGGTAGACGTTGCTGTTCCTGGGCGTCCCGTCGGTTTCCTTCCCTCTGCTGCTGCCGCACGCTCCTTTGCCTCAGCCTCGGTGAGTGGGGGGAGATGCGCAGGATAGATATGGAGCACGCATGTCCAAGGCGTCTCGGAATCCTCTGCATCCGACTCTTCGCCGTCATCCCCTGCAGTAGCGCGAGAGAAGCCAGCAGAGTCTGCGGGAGGGGACGAGACCAAGGCTCCACCATCGCCCACCATTGACGCCTTACGCCTCACCGACGACGATTGGGAAACACTCTGGCCAAGCGGAACAGATCCAGCAGCCGGGGACGGGTTCGACGAGCCAACAAGGGACGTCTTGGACGCATTGCGGGAGCTCGCGCGCGAGGCATCCGGGGTACCAGGACCGAATCCCTCCTCATCAATAATCATGCTCGGAGGCCGCAGACTTCCCCCGCTCTGATTTGACGCCCTCCTTATCTCTTCGGTCCTACCAGCACCGCCCGGCGCGTTTCCTAGCCCGCCCAGGCGCGCCTTGGTAGCCTTCTCCTTACTCGCACTCTTCCCGCGCGTCCACTCGAAGCGGACCTCGATATCCGTGCTGATGTCTCCAGCCTTGTCCTTGCCCCCAGTCGAGAAGCCGGCACTGTTGGGGCCAGGACTGAGACTGAGGCCTTGGGCCATGGACGATAGACCACGCATCAGGGCGCCGTCTCCGTTAGAGAGCTGCTTCTCTTTTGCCCACTTGCGAAGGACCCATACATATGAGGTGGGGCGGCTGCTACCAGACGAAGTCGTGGAGTGGGAGTAGTGGAGTACGGGATGTAAGCCAAGGATGGCAGGTTGAAGATGGATATCTTTTTCATCCTGGGCGTGTGTGCTGTTGGGGTATGCAGCTGTTCCAGGGAGGGAAGATGGGAAGAAATTGTAGGATTGGCGATGTGGGTGTTCAGTGGGGGAACCACGAGAGTGAGATGCAGAGGTAGCGGTATGGGACGACTCGTACGATTCCCTAGAATGGTTCGGGTGCGACTGGCCGACTGCGAGATGGCCAGATATCCTGCTGGATGTGCTCGCGACCGAATTCCGGTGGCCGAACGCAGGTGATCCGGGAGGAGTCAATAGTTCTGGTACCACTAACCCACCATGATTATCTTCTCCGCGCCGTCTTGATGAATTGAAGACTTTGCCGAAGAACTTCTTGGCACCGGAGGTTGGGGGTTCGCGCATTTGTGCTGGTGACGCGGTCGGCGTAGGACCCGGACTATTCATCGGCGTCGACAATGGGTCGGCTGAACCAGATTGATTACGACGATGTCCGGTCGCAGTTCTCGGAGTGGAAGCCTTTTGCATGAAGGATGGCGAGCTCGGGATGGAGCTCTCGGATGATCCACCCCCATGGGATGCCATGGAGAAGGAAGGAGTCATGTCGTGCGACGCCGTATGGGGGGTGCTCGCATGCATCGCTCGTGTGCCATGGCCGTGGCCTGCACTCGCACTCGCATTCCAGACCTCGATGGGTTCCCAAGTGCCAATGCGCATGATATCCAGCCCGCGTTTCTGGAATTTGGCGACTTTGGCATCCGTGCCCGCATCGGTCACGGTATTCGTCATGACATTATGTGCCGAAAGATTGTATAGTGGGACGATTCGGCGTGCGACAGAGCTGCTTGCCGTGGACGCGCCCGATGCTGCCGAGGCAAACGAGGTGACGGAAGCGGATGCGCCTCCGGGAGCCCCGCCGTAGAAGCCGGAGGTGCTGCGGTCAGAATAATTAGATGCTACGCTTGCAACGCGTTGCAAAGGTTGACCAGAGGCCGAGGGAGGGGCGGGGCTGGCGACGTTGGGCGTCGCATGTGGCGTCGAGATGTCTACGCCAGAGTAGTCGCCGGATCGGGGTCGGCCGCCGGCCACTGAGGCTTCGCGCGGAGGCCGTTGAGGAACGAGTTGGATTTGGAGGTTTAGGGGGTGGTTGTTTTTGGCGGGTGGGGGCCGAACGATAATGTAAGTCTAGGAGTGGTAGTATGCAAATGTAAATGGCATGGATTTGGATAACATGCGCCAAGAGCAGTGCGACAAATGGCGATGACAAGCGTCAATGTGGATGTGGGCCCCAATAGCGAAAGCAGCAACATAGATGGACAAGTGGGCCAAGCCACAGACGTCGCAGATGCGGGGGGATGAACGACGCATAGGAAAATAGTCAGTCAGTATGGGTCATTCGGCAGGTTGTTGACAGGTGCGCGATGACGTTGACAGTGCACGCACCTCATTCAAGGGTTTTTCCTGCCTCGGTCTTCTGGGACGAGCACCTGCAAGTCGCGCAGAAGGGTTTTGTTCAGCTCCGGCGAGTGATTCTTGACGCGGAGGGGGGATTGCTGCTGCGGCCACATCTGGATGCGGGGCAGCAGCACGCGAGTCAGACGACACGCGCTGATCGTCATCTGACGCCTCTTCTTCTTCCTCCTCGACGGGCTGGTCCTTGCCAGATTTGCTCGTCGAGAGCAAGGTGGACGGCAGAAAGTTGGAGAAAGACGAAAACATGGAAGAGATGAGTGCGAGTGGCCAAGTCGAGGGGTCTAAATTAGCGCTCGTCGGCCTCCGTGGTGCAAAGGTTGGCACCAATTAACAACACGTGGTGAGGGCCGTGATGCAATTATCGTACTAAGGATGACGCAAATCGGGCCGGTGGACGGCGCAGGAGGGGAGGTAGCAATCGATGGGTGGAATGGGTTGTGGTGGTCAGAGTTTGGCTGTACGGAGGGCGGGTTCAGTAACACTCTCTCAACTCGCACGATATTTTGTTTATTTCGTCGATCACTCTTTTTCTTCCTATTAGGCGATTCCTTTGTACAACGGCAGTGATTTGTATCTCTGAGAAATGTGGTAGGTACTGCTCCTATCCCATCATCAACATCTGCATCATCACCAGAGTGATGCCGGCGGCGAACATCAACACCCACCCACCCAGCCTCCAGAAAGGAGCGGAGACACGGAAACGGGGCCGAGGACTGCGTGCATCGCTCCGCAGGT